GTCATCAGAGATTTTTATCACAAAACAATCTTTTTCATCATCTTCGTGTACAATGCTATCCGCCCGAATTACAACATCAAATCGAAACATTAACACGACACATCGACTCTACCTCACATCGAAAAAAAATTCAAGACGTCCTTTGGAAATACGGTAAACTGTTCGATCTACGTCAGCCATCAAAAATCAATATCACTCTCGATCATGTGATCGATACCGATCAACATCGACCAATCTATACTCCACCTTATCGACGTTCACCTCAAGATCATCAAACTATTACCGAAGAAACAGCCAAACTTTTAAAACAAGACAGTATCGAACCATCAACATCACCTTGGTGTTCGCCCGTCGTATTAGTACGTAAGAAAGACGGTACTACACGATTTTGCGTCGACTATCGAAAACTGAATGATATTACTGTAAAAGATTCTTTTCCACTACCTCGTATCGAAGATATTTTCGATCAACTGTCTCAATCAACCTGTTTTACCACACTAGACTTTAAGAGCGGATATTTTCAAATACCATTAGCAATTCACGATCGTCCTAAAACGGCATTTTCCACTCGTGATAATCATTATCAATTCAAAGTCCTTCCTCAAGGTGTCAAAAATGGTCCACCTACATTCCAACGTATTGTAAACCAAATTTTAGGTCCTGCTCGATGGAAACATTGTCTAGCGTATCTAGATGATGTAGTCATTTTTTCGAGAACTTTTGAAGATCATGTTTCTCATTTGGATGAAATCTTATGTTTACTTCACACACACAATTTTCGTCTAAGTTTCGAGAAATGTACCATCGCTACCGATAACATCGATTACCTGGGTCACCACATTTGTCGTGGAGAAATTCGTCCGAATAATGATAATATACGAGGTTTATTGGAAACTTCTACGCCAACAACACCGAAAGAGATTTTTCGTTTTTTAAAGGGAGCTGAATACTACCGTAAATTCATCCCCAACTTTTCTCGTATTGCTAGTCCATTATATAAATATAATCCTTCCAGCTATACACATCCATCTAATAGTAAATCTACACTTTTCAAATTATCTACCGAAGAACAAGCTGCTTTCGAACAACTCAAACACATACTTACTACTGATCTTGTTCTTCGACTCCCCAACAATCAACTTCCTTTCAAAATACAAACAGATGCTTCACAACTTGGCATCGGTGCTGTTCTATTACAAACATATCCTGAAGGTGATCGTCCTATATGTTATATGTCTAAGAAACTTACACCTACTCAACAACGCTGGTCTCCAATCGAATAGGAGTGTTATGCAATCATCAAAGCTGTTGAGTTGTGGCATCACTATTTACACGGTCATCATTTCATCTTAGAATCTGATCATAAACCATTAGAAGCACTCATGCGTAAATCTCAAATGAACGACAAATGTGAACGATGGCGTTTACGGCTACAATCATACGACTTCACCATAAAACACATCAAAGGTAAATCGAACACTATGCCCGATTATTTATCTCGATCACCGGTAGATCACGCTGAAGATGACATGGACGATAAAGCTCTTCCAACTTCTATTTCTATCGGTACTCAAACTGATGCAAGTGATAACGACACTCTTCTCACATCATCAATCGTCGGCATGGTTACTACTCGTTCTCGTTCTCGCCAATTAGCACAATCCGATCATCATACTACTACTCAATCAAACATCAATCGATCTGATATTCAAAATCATCAATCCACGTCATCCAATTCTACAATTACTACTGATGGTCCACGAATCGAATATACTGGTAATATTGATCAATTAAAACAAGCACAACAGAAGGATTCTGATCTCCAACATATAACGAATAATCTTACTGATGACAAGTATGTTAACTCTTATTTCCTACAAGAAGGTCTCTTAATGCATCATGAACACAATTCGAAACCCGTTCCATGCGTTCCGAAAGGAGAAATTCATCGTGATATTATGAAAATCTATCATGATACTCAAGCTAACGGCGCACACTTCGGTCGTGACAAAACTATAAAGAAAATCAAAGCTCGATACTATTGGAATACTATGACCAGCGATATCACTAATTACGTTAAGTCATGTGTCCGTTGTAATCAGAATAATCCTATTCGTTGCAAACCTGCTGGTCATTTGAACCCAATCGAGCCACCGGAAGGAGTTTGGCACTTATTATCAATGGACTTTCACGGACCAATTACTCCTACTAGTAGACATGGCAACAAATACATTATTTCAATCACTGACGTCCTATCTAAATTCGTTATTGCAAAAGCAGTTCGTGATTGTACCGCTGATACTGCTGCTCGATTTCTTCAAGAAGAAGTTATCTGTAAATATGGCACACCGAAATGTGTTCTCACAGATAATGGTACTCATTTTACATCAAATATGATGGAACACTTACTTAAACGTCTCGGTATCACTCATTTGTACTCGACACCATATCATCCTCAAACTAATGGTCAAATTGAACGATTTAATAGCACGATGGATGCAAAAATTGCCGCTTTATCTAATCAATGTCGATCTGATTGGGATGATCAACTTCCATTTGTCATCTTTAATTATAACACTAGTTCTCATTCCACTACAAAAACTATTCCATTTGAACTTATGTATGGACGTTCACCTGTTCTACCATTCGATCTTCAAAACCCAATCGTTTCCCTTCAACAGTCACCTCACTATACTCAGAACATACGTCAATATATATCACATCTAACAAACAATGCAAAAACCAATATAATTCATGCGCAACGTCAGTACAAATCTAGATATGATACAAATCGCTCAAATCCTACATATTCCATCAATGATTTAGTTCTTATAAAAAATATTCGTCCACGTCACAAATTTGATATACGATACGAAGGCCCATTTCGAATTATACGTCGTCTTGGTGTTAAAACATATCTTGTTCAACATGTCAAACTACTTGCTTTGACTCGACAAGTAACAGTTGATCTACTTATTCCGGTCTCAACTGGATAGTTATCTCAACGATCCATTACTTGTTTTTAATTTTCAACCGTTCACTCTATACCATCAAATGCACTCAGTCTGTTTTATTATTTTTTTTTTGTTGTTTTACGTCCTATCGCTCATCATACAATTTTATCCTCTTGTTATCCACATTCTTCACCTCTGCACGTTTCTTTTCGAACGCCTCGTCTCATTCTTTTGTTTTTTTTTCTCTCCACGCTTTTCTTCATCCATCATTTTTCTCATTTCTAAACAATCTTCAGCTCCTCCTGAACATGTTCTATTTCATCATCACTTTTCTTAGTCTTATTTTTTCATGTACCCCCAGTCTCCATGTCAATCGTAGCAAACGATTTCTTAATAGTGTCGTTCACCATCGCATCTCCGTCTTAGAACAATCGCATAGTACTCATCGTGATCAGACACACAACATCTTCCTTGGAAGTGCTATTATTATTGGCATCGTCATTATTATTGTCCTCGTCATTGTATTCTTCGTATATCGCAGCCTTCGTCGATCTATACGTCATCGTCAACCTCTCGCTCTTCAAGCACTTGATGCATCTGGCCTTAGTCAATTTCATCCGATGGGCAATATTCTTATGAGTACCCTTCGTCGTCTCGACAATTTGGAACAGACTGCTAAATCGCCTGATGTACGCTATGCATCTCCACTTGCTTTACCACCGCTCAAATTTTAAAGATACTTACAACCCTCGTTATTAGTTGTTTTTTTTTTGTTTTTTCATTTTTAATAATACCACTATACTTTTTTTTTCATATTATCGTTTGTGCGCTCGCACATTTTTGTTCTCGGTATATATTCAGATTCTATCAATTTCTTTCGTTTTTTTTTGATTCCTTATCACTTTCTGCTGCATTCTTATACTGCCGCATCTTTTCTTCATATCATCACACATCTTTTCGCTTATCATCTTAATCCGATTCTTTCAATTTTTTGTATTTCTTAATGTATGTGGACACACATTTTCTGGTTGGTGGGGAGGTATGTTACAGGCATGTTGTTCACATACCCTCACATCGCTTCAGCTGTTATTATCCGTTTTCTCTCTGTTCGCCTTTGGCATTCGCTTCTTGTCTCTGTTCTGTTTTCGTTCTCTTTGTTTACATTCTTTGATTCTTTTTTTCTCTCATCGCGATGCTCTCTATCTTGGGTCGGGTCATTCGAAATAAAACTGAACTAAAAGAAGAAGCAAAAGGGACCTCTGATAGCGACCATTCTCGTTCTCCTCATTCTGCACTCCAACTCGATGAAACTTCGTCTAATCTTCATCATTTCTTGACACACTTGACGGCATCACTATCAGAAAACATTTCTAATGCTGTCTTTTTATGCCTTCGCTTAAGTCTTAATGTACTGTATGCAAATATCAAGTTTCATTTCAAATAACTCCAGAGTTTGTTTTTTTCATCAATCTTATTCAATGAGGATAGAGTAAAACCAAGTGAGCGATCCCACTTTTTCCAGTGTTTTATATATAGAATTTTGTTCTCATGCTACGTGAAGCTGTAAAAAAGAACTGTGATTGTAAAGATAAACTGGAGGAGTAGCTTACCGCCATCCTCGTTAATGATGTTTATTGAGCTACTTTACAACTCCAGAATGTAATTACTTCGTATAAAACACACGCTTGCATAGAAGAGAATAAAAGAGAGAGATAAGGGCAGGAACAAACAAGAGAAAGAGAATAAAGAGAAAAGGAGGATTAGCGGTGGGCGATGTTAATATTGGCACAGCGGTGTTATCTACAAGCAAGTGAAAGTCTTTTGCACTATAGCACGTCATCGGATACGATAAGCTTGCGCATTTCACTTTTCAGTTTTTTGATTGCGTCATTATTTGGTGTAGGCATTCGCTCGTAGATAGTCAAAGATTGTCGATAATAGTCTAAAGCTACATCAACTAAGCCAAGTGCAGAATAAAAATTTCCGATGATGTCGTAGATATTGGCTAACACCGAATTTCCATCAGGATTGCTTACAAGTTGATCAGTAAGTAATTGTTGAAAAAACTTTAATGCTTGGTTAAAATCACGTTTGTTGAAATACATATTTCGAATAATTTTCTGCATCTTAATTAATGCTGGATCCTGTTTCGATAACATATTTCGCTGAGAAAGAAGCAATTCTTGAAAATAGTTGATTGCTCCATCCAAATGACGTTTCTCAATAAAAGGGTTTTCAGCAAAATTGTGGGCGTTGTTTATTGATGATCTCCTTTCTCGTTCACTATCGTACAATTTACTGAGAGAACGCATCGATTGATCGAGATGATGTTGAGTTAAATAAACTTCTCCCATCATTAGGTATGCGTTTGCTAGAGATGAATTAGTCAATCCTTTATGTTGGAGCTGACAGTCAAGCCATTGATTGACAAAATGTAGTGATTGATCAAACATCTGTTTTCTCCAATAAAGATGCGCCATGACCTTGTAGACACTGATAAGAGATGGGTCGTCCTTCGGTTTTTTCTTGAACTCGATTTTCAGTAACTTGTGGAAGTATTTCAATGCTGGATCAGCTTCATTTTTTTCCATACAAATATTCGCGAGAATTTTATTTAAATCGAGTGATGACGGGCGATTTGATGACAATTCTGGTAACCGTTTCTTTTGTAGTTTTTGAAAATAGCTCAGTGCTTCCTCTAAATGCCGTTTTTCGAAATAAATATTAGTGATGGTAATGTGATCGTTAAGTAAGGATGCGTCGGCCGATGAAGTTGTGCGTGTATGATGTTCAACGGATTGATTAAAACGGAGTAAACTTTGATCGCATGGCTTTTCCGCGTAGATCTTTGCAATCATAGTATATGTATCAGCCACGTCTAAATCTTTGAATGGCCTTGTTCGAAATTGACAATCCAGTAATCGATTATAATAGACAATTGCTTGTTGTAAATCATGTTTTCGATAGAAAATTTTTGCCATGATTCTATAAGTCTGGGATAATGACGGATCCTCGATTACTTTTCCTGCTAATTCATTATCTAGAGCTTTAAAATAATAGATTAATGATTGATTCAAATCATTTTTTTCATAGTAGATAGTCCCTATGATCTTGTACGTGCTGATTAACGATTCCTTTTCTGTTTCTACTTTTTCTAACAATTTAAGATAATAGAATACTGCATGATTCCAATCATTTTTTTCAATCGCAATGTTTCCAAGAATTTTATATACATCAGGTAATGATAAGTCACTTGGTAGTGATGTTGTGTCTTTATCATTGAGCATTTGTTGAAAATGATTAACCACTCGATCTAGATGTCGTTGTTCGAATTTTGCATCACTCTTAATTGAAAGAGTCTCATCTAATGATGTATCTGTCAATCCATTATCTTGTATTTGAATCCCAAGCAATTCATTGAACTGCATTAATCTTTGATGAAACGGTTTTACCAAGAAAAGTTTGCCGATTAATACACATGTATCGTTCACTAATGCATTGTTCAATGGTTTCGTTTTTAACTGAGAATCAAGTAGTCGATTGTAATAGCCCAATCCTGTTTCGAAATTGTTTTTATCACAATAAATTTTTCCTATGAACTTGTAGGTAGTGGCTAAGGATGGGTCATCCAATGGTTTTTGTCTTACCCCCTCATGTTTCAATAATTCATGCAAATAGAATAATGATTGTTCGGAATCTTGTCTATCTGTGCAAATATTTCCGAGAATTTTTAAGGTGTCGATTAATGCCTGGCGATCAACTGGTTCTTTTTTCTGTAGATTTTCGAGTAATTGTTTAAAATAATTATATGCTTGATCTAAATGTCGTTTTTCAAAATGAATATCACCGACAATAATGTGATCGTAGAGTAAGGATGCATTTGCCGATCCAGCTGCTCGTATTTCATCATCAAGGGATATATTGAAACGGAGTAATGTTTGTTCGTATGGTTTCTCCAAGTAGATTTTTCCAATCATTGTGTATGACTCGACTATTGCTGAATCTTTGAATGGTCTTGCTTGTAATTGACAATCAAGTAATCGATAATAATAGAACAATGCTTGACGAAAATCACCTTTTTCACAATAAATATCTCCGATTAATTTGTATGTCTCAGCAAACGATTGATCTTCCAATACTTTTCTTTCAAGGTCATTATCCAAGAGTTTATGATAGTATTCTAATGCATCATCTAAATCACGATTTTTCAAGTGAATATCGGCTATGGTTTTATACATGGTCGATAATGATGAATCGCCGAATCGTTTTCTCTCCAATTGACATTCAAGTGATTTTTTATAATAGAATAATGCCTGTTTGTAATCTGATTTTCCATAGAAAACTTTTCCTATCAGTGTGTAAGTATCAGCAACTGATGGATGTTTTTCTGATAGTGTCTTGATTTGACTATCGAGTAATTTTTTAAAATAAATCAATGCTTTATCCAAATCTCCTTTTTTCAAGTATAAATTTCCGAAATGTGTATAACTTTCACAAAAATCTGGATGATTCGCCGGTAACGATTTTACTTGTAATTGGTATGCTTTTTGAATATATTCCAATGCTTTCTGTTCATTACCAATTTCTGAATACATCAATCCAACAGCGCTATAAGTGTATCCAAGATCAGGATGGCCAGGATGGAGTGTTCTCAATTGAATTTTAACTGCTTGATTGAACATACTCGAGGCTTGTTCTTGTTGTTTCATTAGAGAATAAATTTTACCAATATCAATGTATGTATTTGCAATCATCGAGGGTGGTGCATCCCATTGTTGTTCGAGACGTTTATATTGATACTCCAATGCTAGACTGTAATTCTCCATTAGTTGATGAATTTCAGCAATTCCAGCATAAGTTGTTGCAACATTGTTGTATTTTGTCAATAATGCCTTCTCATAGTATTTGAAAGCCAATAAATAATCACCTTTCTTACAATATACTGAACCATACTCATTATAACATTGTGCAATGAGAGAATAATGTTTTTCGTTAAGCGGTTTCGATAAATATTTCAATGCGGTACCGATGCTATCCAATGCTAAATCGTAGTCGCCTTTTTTTGTATTTGTTTGTGCAAGTCCATGATAGCAAGTTGCTAGATCGTAATCATTTTCAAGTAAATTGTTTTCTATCAGTATTTGATAATGTGATTCAGCTTCGTCAAATTTTCCCATTTGAAGCAAGTAATTACCGATTGATACTAAATCATCTTTACCCTTCAAATCTTTTGCTAATGTTTCCATAAATGCTTTATAATCAGCGTCATCACTATTGCATAAGGTCAACTTTGCTCGCCAGATACTTTTCTCTTTATCTTCATAAAGGTTATCAATACGAAAAACAGCACCGAACATAAAAAGAATTTCTTCTTCGCTAGGAAATGCACTTAAATGTTTTATATCAGCAAATGGTCGAGTCGATGGTCCAATAGGAACATTCATTTCAAGTAAAATTGATGTTAATGTATCGATAGGTGGCGGTCTAGAAGTAGCGAATTCTATGGCTTTTTTTTGGTTTGTACTGGTAGACAAAAAGGAATTCATTGCAATCAATTGACCGATACCAGATTTCATTCGATTAACTTCATCTATACTGATAAGTTGTCCACGATAAACTTGAATCGTTGGTGTTTTAAATTTTTTCATAAACGGTATTTGCTCTTGTGCCAACTGCTTATTTAGATCACAGATGAATGTGCTGAAACCGAGTAAATGATTGATATTTTGTGTTCGCAAAGCTTTATTGAGCATACGATAAACACAGCTTTCACGTGTGTACCAAAAAACAGCTTGACTTGGTTTGTATGTTTTATCGAATTCTATCATAGTACGTGTGTCACCTTCGTCCTCGGGCTTGAAAAAATCGTACAATCCATTTGTAGCCGTTCCCTGTTTATTTTTTTCGCTTAGTATACGCTTCAAAATAAGCTGATACAACATGAATTCACTATTCAATGAGTTATGCATACTGTGTACATCTTTTGCATTAAATACAGCACTACCCATACTATCAGCACGTGTTGGACGTTCAAATTTTGATTCACGACGACGACGCATCATCTTGCAATTTATTATATTAGAAACTTTAACCGTAGAAGTTGAAGATGATCTAGAAGCAAACGCTCAGCAAACAAGCAAAATATTCGAGCTTATTAAAAAATGATTAATGATAATTAATATTTACATGATAAAAATTATATTTTTCACACGATACATCATACTCTGTGCTTATCTTAGACTTTCATGGTTTGTCTTATTACCATTCTTTCGTACTTTCTTTCAAATTCCAATAAAAAGATCACATCATATTCATAACGTAAATAAAATAGATTAAAATTTCAGTATCCTATGAGCATAATCGAAAATGATAATTCGATTATTGTGTATCAAAATCAAAATTATAATCGATTACAATTTTGATTTTGTTTCACAATAGTCATGGCGAAAATCCTCATATATTTGACTTCGAGCCAGTTTCGATTGGTTTTTTTATACTGTTGTACTGGTTTGTAAATGTTAAGATGAAATAAAACTAAATAGAGACCTTTTGCACGTAAAAAAAAGGCGGAAAAAATCGATTAAAATCAATTTTTTTTCGTCTTTCTTTAAATGTTAATTATCTGTTTCAATTCTATGCTACCTGTTAATCGAATTCAATCTCTTATTATCTATTAATCTATTTCAATCTCTTATTAACTGTTAATCAATTTTATCTGTTATTACTTGTTAATCGATTTTAACTCATACACACCGAAGATCAGTGCTTTTCTCGAGATTCGAACGCGATACCCCAATTTTTCATGTTTTCTTTTGGATTGTTTGTGTTCAGAAACCATGATCTTGCCACCATCCGGGTAAAAAAACTTCTATAAAAGTCACAAAAACAATTGATTTTTAATCGATTAAAACTACACATCTTTGGTTGATTGTAATCAAAAAATAATCAGAATAAACAATGAACTCTCAATTATTTTTGATTAGTTTTTGATTATAATCAATGTGCAATCGATTAACAATTAGTGAAAAGTGTATGGTTTTAATAGATTTAGATCGATTTTTTGCATCACTTTTTTTTACATGAGCAAGTTGAAGTCTAGCAACTACAGTAAAGTTGGAACTGCTATATAGACTGCTTCAAATTGAAATGGTACAATTACATCAGAAATTGATTAAAATCAACTGACCTTGTAAAATATGGTTCAATTCCATCACATAGCAAAAATAAGAGTAGAATTAATTGTACACTATTCGAAATATTTAAAGTCTACTTTTATTTCGTTCGAAAGGTTCCCTCTCCATAATGTATAGTCGAAAGAAACAGTAAAGAGAAAACAGACAATCTACATTTGCTTGCGTTATAAGATACGTCGAAAATTGATATGACCATTTTACTTGTCATATAAAGGGTGTTAGCTAAGTTCTGATTCCCTTCATGTAATATGCTTTTCCTATATATTTTTTCAGTAGAATAGGCTGATATTTGCAGCATATATACTAGACAT